GCCAAGTCTCGCCGCTAGAGCGAGCATCCCTCCGGCCGAGGAGAGGCCCCCTAAAATCTCCCAAAAAACCAAGCCTCCCCCCACAGCAGACGAGAGAGACCGGCTACCCCAATCTCACTACGGGCAGACAGGTTGGGAGGACCCCAGCTCGCCAGGTCTACGTCACCTCGGAAGTCGAAGTTTGAAACCCCGCTCCTTGAGAACCGGTTCGAGGTCTGGGCAACAGATTCCAAACAGGACCCCTCTGTCCATAGCCATCACCAGCAAACCGGGCTACTTCCTGCACAAACCATTCTGGACAGTGTAGAGGTGGGCAGCACGAATGCCGAGCCCACCAAGAAGCAGAAGCACCGCTGCCGAGCTCGCCGATCTGTCACCAGCGATTTGCTCGAGCTCATGGGCAAAGAAGAGGTAAGCTCGACCGAAGTCAAAGCTCCCCTACTCTCGGTTCCATCCCCCCTGTCTTCCGAACTCCTGGCAGTTCCGATGCCCAAAGACTTCAAGCTCCCCCATCTTGACAAGTATGACGGGTCATTTGACCCAAATGATCACGTAGATGCTTTTCAGTCACAGATGCACCTGGCGCGAGCTAGTGAGTCGTGCATGTGTGTGGCCTTCTCCACTACTTTTAGGGGAGCAGCCCGTACGTGGTACCAGAACTTGGCACCCAGGTCGATAAGAAGTAGGGCGCAGTTCACACAAACCTTTACGTCCCACTTCGTTACTAGCAAGCGGTGTCCGCAAACTGAAGAAAGTCTCCTCAGCATAGTACAGAGAGAGGGAGAATCCATCCGAAGCTATATCAAGCAATTCAACGATGCCTGTATGCAGATACCGCGCCTGGACCCGCCGTACGCCTTGCAGCAGCTAAGAAAGGCGTGACACACAAAGAGTTTAAATGGCACATGGTCGTCAACCAACCAGCGACCATAACCGAGTTCCTGAAGCTTGCGGACAAGTTCATAGCCACTGAAGAGGAGACCAACCTAAAGGGCGAGGGTGGGCCCGAAAAAAGAAAGAGGGAAGGAGAGCTCTCCAGTCAAGCAGACAGCCGAAAGAAAAAGGACACAGCTCGGGGGGCAAGGCCGGGTCAATTATTCCGACCTCCCGTAGCGGACCAAACCGATTACACCCCACTAAACGTGAAGAGGGCTGAAATCCTGATAGCAATCAAGGACGCCCCATACGTGAAGTGGCCACCCCATCTAAGGGGGGAATCCCAATGAAAGAAATAAGAATCTATATTGCAGTTTTCACAAAGACCACGGTCATAGTACCGAGAGTTGTAAAAACCTCTGCGATGAGATAGAGGAGTTCATCCGTCGCGGGTATCTAAGAAACTTTGTACAGAATAATAATAATAGTAATAAAACAGGTCGGCAAGGGGAGCATGGTAAGGACGCCCCCGAGTCCAGCAGTAGGCCGACCGAACAATTGCCGAGGCAGCCTCCGGAGGAGAGGCCAGTTCGGGGGACCATCCACATGATAGTAGGAGGTTCGATCATTGCGGGTTGCACTTCAGCAATCATTGCGGGTTTCACTTCAGCAGCAGCTCGGGCGTCGGTTCGCGAAGCCACTCGGGAGGAGCAGAACCCCCCAAAGCGATCGAGGACAGAAGAGCCAATTTTCTGTATAGAAGATGATGCGCGAGGGGTCCACTACCCCTACGACAGCGCGCTCGTAATAAAGCTAAGAATCAACGACTTCGAGGTCAGGCGCGTACTCGTCGACTCGGGCAGCTCAGCCTACATCCTCTTCATAGCTGTATTTGACCAGCTCCAGTTGCAGAAAGGCGACTTGAAGCCCGCAGACACTCCTTTGGTAGGCTTCAACGGAGAGGAAGTTTGGCCCCTTGGGAAAATAACAGTACCTGTGGAAGTCAGCACGTGGCCTTGCATGGTCAGATTCAAGAACGACTTCTTGGTGGTTGCGACCCTCTCCCTCTACGATGCCATAGTTGGTCGACCGATCACCCATGTTCTACGGGCGGTGGTCTCCACTTACCACTTGGCTATGAAGTTCCCAACCGACTTCGGTGTGGGAGTAGCGTGGGGCGACTAGCTCGAGTCCCGTAAGTGCTACGTCGCCGCCCTGAAGGGAAAAACCAAGGTAGCCGATGACCTTGAGCTGGAGCGGCCTATGG